AAGAAGAAGAAGAAGAAGAAGAAGAACAACAACAACAACAACAACAACAACAACAACAACAACAACAGCGGCAGCAGCAAGAGCTACAACAAACAAACAAACATACACACAAACAAAAACAACGAGAACAAGAAGAAGAGCCACCTTTGCAATCATCAGTGAAAACTGGTTTGACATTCTCTTCAGATCGTCCTGCAGGCCTTTTATAGCGACATCCTGTGTGCTGTTCAAAGTGGCAAGTTCGTGAATTGCCCGTGTGGCAGAAAGTGCGTTACTCTGCGATGTTCTAAGAAGCTCCTCTTTCGAGTTCACCTGCTGAAGTGCTTCGTTTAATCGCTGAAACCAACAAAAAAAAGAAGCGGTTTCTGAATTATTACATTATAAGACAAACATTAATTTTTAGTAGGAAAAATAGAATATGGGGTGTCGATTACGTTCGTGTTATAGCCGACATAATTATTACTATAGTGCCGTCAAAAATTCGTGGCGCAACTTAGATTTATCCTGTAAATATCTCTAGAACGGAAGAATCAATTTCACCCATACATTGCATAGCAGTTTGTATCAGTTTGTCTTGACTTAATTATATTTTTCCACAACAACTGAGGCTAGATTTTTATCAAACTCTTTTTCAGAAATCTATGTATGAAATACTATAAATCTCCGTCACACGTAGAATGGGTGTGTTCACAGAACTTCCGCTCTTTACACACATTAAATTTTTGCATCCGCGTCATAGGTCTACGTCACTGATCGCCAATGACACTACTTCTAGTGGCAAAACTTGTTACAAGAAATTGACCTTTTTTTCCTTAAAGTTCTCAAAACATGCATTCAATAAGCATAATGTCACATGTGGAGAAAAAAAAATGACGGACTTGCTTTAAAAAGCGATAACATGGTCCCAACTGTAGACCTTTTAAAATCTATAAAAACCACTCTCAGGGATTTTTTATTGATTTTTATTTAGAAATTTTCAAGAATACAGCTAACAGGTGTTTACAAAAATAATAATTATTGATCTGTTAAGACAAACTGATACAAGTAGTTGTGCAAAAGCAGGAGACTTCGTGTTTGATAGTTGAGGAAATATTTGACAATAAGTTGCGCTATGTATTCTTGACCTTACTCAATGATGATACATAACAAGCTGGTTCACTCCTCTCTTTGAGCCAATTAAAAAAGTGTCCTCAAAATTCGGTGGCGCCCTCTTCGCAAATGAGCGGACTTTGCAAACAGAGTTACCCTCTTGTGTGAAAAACAATAAAAGTGAAACTAACAAGTTTTTTTATGAATTGGAATTCAAATTTCGGAAGAACGCTTTTTAAACATTGTTGCGCTGACAAAAAACCTTTTCCGGAGGAAGAGGCGACTGTTTTCTTCTAATAAATTTGACTTAAGAATGAGAGGCGAGAGTTCATGGAAAAAAAATTTTTTAAACCCAAAACTCCGCACTGAACGAACCCGAACAGCTGATGGACAGCAGTCTAGGCCTTCTCAACAGCAGTCGATCTGAGCACACAAGGAGGTGCTGTTCTTCTTCTTCTTCTTCTTGAGAAACGAAAGAGGGCTCCAAAATAAAGACTGCGGCGCCTTCTGAGCTGTTGCGCGGACTTCCGGCGGGCACTTTTTTGGCTGAGTGGACCGTCTTGTTATGTATCATCGTTCCCTCACTATAATAAAAGATTAGATCTGGTCTCAAACCCAAGACTGAAGAATATGTTGTCGGTCTTGGCTTAAACTACAATGTATGTAACAAGCCTACAACAGCAAAATCACCTAACATCAACTTTGGATTCTATTGGGTTTTGTAACTCTATACGATTCTTTGGTTTTTGTTTGATTTTTGTTGTCTTTTTTGTGCTCGTTTGTTTCAATGTTTGTTTGTTTGATAGTTTGTTTGTTTGTTTGTTTGTTTTTTATGTATTTGTTTTGGTGAGGATTAAATGAGGGGAGGATGTTGCCGGGGGAGGGAAGGAATGGGGTGGTAGTTTTTGGTTGTTGTTGTTGTTGTTGTTGTTGTTGTTGTTGTTGTTGTTGTTGTTGTTGTTGTTGTTGTTGTTTGGGTTGGGGGGGTTCGGGGGGAGGGGTGGGGGTAGAATTGGTGTTAACTGCTTCCGCCCATTTCTTTAGAACTTTCCAAGTTCTAGTTTCAGTGCAAGTAAAGATCATTTCTCATCCACAGAGGAAGAAGGTCATGCATTAATTGTTTCCAAAGAACATTTATTTCTGTCTCACTTTTAGTGTTAGTTTCTTCCTTTTTTTATAAAGTCACCAAAACCATTACAGTGTCATGTAATATAATAATTACAATATTATTGATTGGCGCTACACGTCAAATCCAGTTCTTGCGTCGTTGCGCCGCTGTTGGTGCCTTTTCACTGTTCTCTCTGTGTAACAGTTGTTACGTCTTACATCTGACTTCTTGTTTTGGTAAGAGTTTTACGACACTTGCAACCCAATTAGATCTAAGTCATATAAGTGCCGAAGATTTGAAGTGTTACAAGAGAGTAACAAACAAAACAAAAAGGGAAGAGAGATAAGGACCATAGAAGTTTGATAGGAAAGAAGGAGCAAACCAAGTGTCGAAGATTTGAGGTGTTACAAGAAAACAAACCAACACAGAAAAGGAGAGATAAAGACAATAGATGTTTGATGGGAAAGAAGGAGCAAACCACTCCAAGGCACCGCCAATCATCCACTTCAAGGAAACGTTTACTCACAGTCTTTATCGTGTCACATTGCAGCGTCATGGTCTTCAGGTGCTGTCGGCAGGTCAGTAACCCCAACTTGAGGTCCGAGAGTGCTGGACGATGACGAAGTAGATGATGGAAATAACAAAAGGGAAAGATCCGTTTTGAGGAAGAAGCTGGCTCGTTTCATTTGCATCAAAAGGTATCGTGAAATCTTCCTCACATGGAAAAAAAAAAACACCAGGCAAACGACGTTGTTCAAATTGATGACTTTTTTCACACAATCTACATCTACATCATTCCTACCCGGGAGCAGCATTTTTTCCTACCTGTAGACAGTCTGTGAAGTACATGTGCTTTTTTTCAAACATCTTAATATTTTGGAATTGTAACGAACAAGTTCAGAGTTACTTCTCACACTAGATTCTAGACACGTGAAAGAGGAGTGCCCCATTCTCACTGAGGGTGGGTATTAGGAATTGTTGATGGCCTATGCTCCTTTTCAGCTAGAAAGATGACGAAAGATGTGACTCTGGTAGAAATAAAATCCTTTGACATTATCAAATACGGTACTTTACACGCACGCACACACACACACACACACACACACACACACACACACACACACACACACAC